TCTGCGCTTTGATATTTCAGTTGTTACTTCAGTTTCAGTCGGGAGCTGGCCATTTCGGTGCTCGGCTCATTTACAAACGGAAGGATTGTTCCGTGCAAGTTCGTCAAGGTCAACCGTGACTCTCCGAGTCGCAAGTGTCTAGGGGAAAATTCGTCGAGGGGAGACCCTTTGTGCCAAGGCTGCATTGTCGAACGCACGACTTCGAGTCCGGGTGAAAGGACAGCCCTGTTAGCCTTGTACGACCCTCCGGTGAACCGAAAATTGATTTCGAAACGACGACGACGACGACGACGAACGAGCAACGTGCTCGAATTCAGACATAACGGTGCTCGATGCTTTTTTTCTCGCCAAACGTCGATGAAACAAACGAGCGGAACAGATGCACCTCTGCCTCAGTTCTTTTTCTCTTTTTTCTTTTCTTTTCTTTTCTTTTTTTTTCTTTTTTTTTTTTTAAGTCCTCGACCTACTGTCCCATCGACCTGTTTCATCAACGAATGTAAAAGGGCTGCGACGTAATCGAGCACACGAACTTCGAGCGATGATATTTCTAATCGCGTTTCCACTCGAGTACATCCGCGAAAACAGTGAATTTTTTTCAAAATTTTTCTTCAACTCTGATCAATTTTGATGTAATTGTTTCTCGAGATTGTAGGATTGTGCTTTCACGCGAAGTTCTTGAGTGGTTTTGAATTTTTATTTTATAAACTCTCACGAACAATGAGGGATGACAACGTACCAAGTGACGACTTTAAGAGTTTGAATTTAGTCGAGCGTTTCAACTTTAAGAGGTGTCATTCCTCAGTTTCACAATGAATTAAATTATATCGTTGTGGTAATGCTGCAACGTGTGGTATATGTTTTCGTGATTTGAGGAAACATAATGAATTTTTTATAACAGTAAAATGAAACTAACGATGTTTCGCGAACATTGTACATCAGGTTGTGAATCCTTAATAATAATATAACAATAAATATGAGTAATAATACAATATTACTCTATTTTTTGAATATTATATCGACTACACCACTGTCGTTCTAAGCTCTTCAAACGCACACTCAAACACTTTTCAACGACAATGTTTCGATACAACATAGGCACGTAATTCACGTGTCCCTCGTTCTCAAAGTCATTGGCGTTTAATGAGAGATTCTTAATTAACTCCCTTATGCTGGCGGGTTAACCAAGGTATGCCCACTCTGGTGCGCCGTCTGAAGCATTTTAACAAGTGTATCATTAAGTCCCTTGCCGGCATACGTCGCAAAGTAAAAGGGAGGCGGCCTCGTCTCTCGCGGCAGAAATTTCATTTTCACTTCGGAATAGTACTTCCACGGGGCCGGAAAAGTGCTCTTCAAATGCAGCGCGATGCCTGGTAACGGTTACCAGTTGCGTATCAACGTGAAATACGCCAACCACGAATGCTGACTTAATCCCGACACAAGTTTCCCCTTGCATTGAAGATTTTTCATCCCCAAGCGCGTTCCATTTCGAACATTTGTCCGATACTTCGTTTGTCATTTCTTATTTCTTTATCGTTTATTATTGTTTTGTTACTCGGAGAAACTTTTTATCACGACTTATCTTTGGATTCTGGAATTATTTATTCATTTATTCTCTCAAGAAATTGCTCGAGAGATTATTTTTTGCGTCGAAAATATGACTCAAGATTAACATCGGAAGCACGAGTAAAGCGAAAGATCGTAGGGATTCTTGTCAAATTAATGAAAATACCACGAGCGAATGTATGAAAATAATTTGTTAAATATAATATGGAGATTAATAATTATTTTTGATTATTAAACGCTGCGATCTATCTTCAGTCAAAAAATTACGAAGATAGTAGGATCTATCAAACATTTATTCTAATCTAGTACATAAAAGTAGTATAATTTCTTCACTAATTGTAATATTTTATTTAAAATACCCTACAGAAAGTTTTCACGAATATATTAATTATTTCGTATCAAGTATTTCCTGAAATTTTTTCAGACAATAAGATCCAGTTATCGTCATCTGTCTGACTAACAAGAGATCGTTCTACTTATTCTAATGTCTTTCATAACAAATGTTGAAATAATTTACCACGGAGCACACGCAGAGAAACGAAGAAAGTCGAGTTTGCGACGATATTTTTCTTCAAAGTCGAGACGAAATCAAGGATATACCGTACGTATAGATAGAGGAGCGTAGGATGGTACAAGTATATATGTATCTGCGAAAGGACTCCGTTATTGGTTGTAAAAACGGCCGAGCCATCTGTCCGCGATATGAGACCTCGGTGCACCCTAAAAATCCACTCCTGAGTCCTATCGATGACGGTAATAAGTCACACTGGCTCTCCACCTGGCTCTGACCCTGTACCGCGACTGCCACTGAAATTCAACGACGAAATCCAGGGCTGTGAATTCTAGCTTTCGCTGGTATATTGTCTCGTGGCTTTTAGCTTTTGACGGTGAAAGTAATTTCGATTCCTTCCTTAGTACTGATACACAGTATCCCTTTGAAACATTAATTCTGAATTATTTTAAAAAAGCGTTTGGTTCAGAAAATGTTCGAGGTATAAAGTATAATTGGAAATCGATTCAGAACTATAGAACTCTATAATACAATATTCTAAGTGAAAGTTATTCTAGGTGAAATTTTTCTTTTACAAAATTCAATGTAAATTTTTTTTTACAAAATTCAACAAGGAATTCTTCTTATCAAACCAACAAAACTAACTTTTTAAGAGAATATTCTAATTCGAAAACGCAAAGCCTAAAGCCTAGATGAACGCTTCCAGGCAAAAAAAAAAAAAAAAAAGAAACCATAATGTTTCAAGAGTAAGAAGAAAGAAAAGCAAGCAAAGTAGGGGCGTGGACCAGATTGCATCCAAGTTGCCACCCACTTTAGCCAGCACTTTGAAGTATCAGGACGCGAGTGAAATCTCCAAACGTTCTGCATCTGCATGTGGCGAGACGAACGTCGAGCGTGGGAAAGTTCACACGGGATGAAAAGAAGTTCGGCCGGAGGAGCGAAACGAAAATTTTGCGGGAAAAGGGGCGAGGCGAAAGGGTTTGGAGGAACGGTGCCTCGAACCCGGTATATACGGCACTGTTTCTCTTGTGGCAGCTGGCTCACATGGCTGAACAACACTAAACTCGAGGCTCTCGAGGCTCGCACGACCCTATCGGGTGGCCGTCTTATTTTTAATAAAAACTCGCCGGTGTAGCCGAGATTAAAAAATTCGTGCCGGCGCGCTACGAGTCACTCGATGGCGTCGTAACTTAAAATTAAGAAAATTAGGAGACACCCCGCCACCGACACCGGAAACTGATCAGATTTTCTTGTCTCTGGTTACTTCAATCTCCAAGCTCTTCCTCGTTATCTCGAGAGTTATGACTCGCGTGGATTCATTGGACGATTAATCTCCGGTACACGCTGGTTGCGTTGTATCTTTGCAAGTTTCGACATTTTCTAACTATTTGCCTCACGAGACCTTCGCTTGTCATTAGAAAGAGAAAAACAAATGAAATCGAATTCTACGAACTGAACGCTAATAAATACAAATTAGACATAACGTTTCGATCTTACAAATTAAAATAACACCTCACCTTATTGAGAAATTTGGAAATAAAATCGTAAAATTTTCAGTGTTGATCATGTTTTATATAATGGAAGAAATATGAAAGCACGTGATAATGTTTATTTTATACTTTCAGAAAGTTCTATACTGTACTCAGGTACTATGTTTGGTTCGAAATTGGAAAAATTAAATAATTAAGCAACATACATAGTATATTAATAATTGCACGACGAACAATACTTTGAAACGTTCAAATTTTTAACAAAGTTGAATTTTTGAGGTATTTGGTAAAATTTCGCGTAGAATAGTTAGAATTCATTTCGTTGAATACTCAATTGTACCATGTTCCCATTAAGAAATTGGAAAAATTAAATCATTAAGCAAGATATAGATATATTACAATGCTTTGAAACGTTCAAATTTTTGAGATATTTAATAAAATTTCGCGTCGAATACTCAGAATGCTGAATGCTTAGAACTAAACATGTCCCGAGACTCTCGAGCGAGAGCGGAACGGGTCTTCGTCGAAGTTTCAAATTATTCGCGAGAACAAAGAAAGAGAACAATTCAATAGTTGACACGTAACATTTAAACTCACACATCGGTGAAGATCATTTCGCTAGAATACGCCACGATAAAGAATAAAATAATAAAAAAGAAAAAAAAAGAAAAGAAGAAAAGACACAGCTTCGTATCGTTCGTATAGATAAATTGAGACAGGAGGAAACAAGCAAGTTTCCACGTGGAAGCTAAATCTGGATTTATCGTAACGGAGCTTCTCAATGCTGTCGCGTATCAGTTCGTCAGAGAACTTTTTCAATATTAGCCTCACCTCCTGACAGAAAACCGGAGTGGAACGAGTGATTTTTAACGCGGTATATCTTTCCGATATCTCATTATTCCGCGGAGTTCTCGAAAACGAACGGGGAAACTGTTCGTTCCCCGAACGAACTTGACGCAATCGATCGTGAAATCCTCGAATATTAATGGAAATTAATTCGTCCCGATTAATTTCTCTTTCTGAGCAGCCGCGGCGGATCGGTATCGATTCGCAATTACACAGATGATTACTCTACCCGGCAACACGGAAAATTGATGGAAGGCTCCTTTGTGGAATCAGATTTTCACAAAATCAAGCGGAGTCAGTGACGTGATGTCACTCGCTCATGGAAAATCCTCTTTTTCCCAATTCTTATCAAACGAACGCCACGTCCGCCATACCAGTTTTCGTTTTCCAACTTTACGCGTTACACGTTTCACGTGCATTAACTCCACGATATTTTCGCGATATTTGTTGAACGCGGAGATTAAAAGCGAGAGGCGAGATCTCGCCTCTCGTTCTTAACGTCTCGCGATCTTACGAGTTTGCGCACGGAGGGTTTGCTTCCCTCTTTGTTAGTGAAATTACCGACGGATTTACGTGGATTAAGGACTTACCAGAAATTCCATCGTAGGTCCACCATTCGTCCCAACTGGCCTCGGATTCTGTAAAGCAAAGGAGACAAACTATTATCGAGGTGTTTGCAACTCGGCAACGAGCTACGTATTTCATTCAAACTTCGCGATTCATTTGCGCGCGGCAAATGAATAACAGTATTAGTACATTTTCGTGTAAACTCGAGCGTCAGTGAACAAAAAAAAGTAGCAAATATTATTACAGGGAACGCTATACTTTGAATATTTTACATACTTGTCTTGGGAACTTTGCGATTTAAAATGCCTGTCCATTTATGTTCAAAATGAAAAATAATAAATCTGTTTTTTCAGTGAACAACAAATAAAAACAATGATAGACTTGAGTACTTTTCGTTATAATATACTATAATAATTACTATACTTATACAGTAGTAATGAACCTGGTATTTATTATTTTTAATTATTCTAAACGTGTATGTGTCTATTCAATGACACTGAATATAATAGTAGGTACTCAGTATAATAATGACTAATCTGACTATAAATATGTAAACAAATGAATTTAACCTAGGTTAAACGTTGCGTAACCTATTTTCTTATGTTCTTCGGACTTGAATTTAAAAATATGTAGATATATAAACATGATCTATTCTTTTTAAATTTATTATTCCACCGCAACGCAGTGACAAATAAACTTCAAGTTAACAGTATAAATTAATGGATTTGTAATTGCCTGAAACGTGAACCGAGATATTTTTTTTTCTCGCTTGCACGGTGAATTAACGCGCGCGGCATTTGCCAGGTTTCTTAACTCGCATATCTTTAGAAACTTTCGGTACACAGGCGGAAACTTTAAAGCTCCATCAAGCTGCGCGGAGCATCGATCAATTGAACTTCTTAGCGGCGAGAAATGATCGATCAATCGATTGCCGCAGGTGATACAGTCGGGAAATTGAAGCACGCGTTCAACAGAGCGGAACCAGAGCTCTCGAAACTTTCTTCCATTGAAGAAATTATACGAACGAATACATCGCGTTATTACATTTCGTGCATTTAACAAAGGATTTGTTAAAGGAACCTCTCCGACGTGGTTCCTTCTTCTAACTAGGAATCTGTAATTTAAAAGAACCTTGTACCACCCACGATAATGCTACGGCGAACAATTTATTTCTCAAATTGCGGAGAATCGGCTTTCATCGATAGAATCGCTTGCGCGTGAAAAACACCAAAGCAAAACCGATCCGCGAATCACGCTACGATCACGTAAGGACAGCACGATAAAAAAAACCTGGAATAACCGAACAGTTCACGAAGCCCGTGAAATTTCGTATGCCTTCTGAAAAAACGAGATAGGATTCCTAAACATAACAGCGACGGGGTCGTTGATCCCGCCGTAAAAACCTTCGTCGAACTCCCATTGAAAAAGGAAAGGGGAGAAATAATAAAAAAAAAAAAAAGGACCGCCTCGCTCTATCCGTCCATCCATCCGTACACGCGCGCGCGTACACACTTTGTGCAGAGAGGAAACGAAAGAACGAGAAAGGAAAGGAGAGAGCGGAGAGAAATCTGCAAACGCGGATGAGAGATCGGATCGGAAACGGTAATCGTTAAATCGCTTAAAATTCAGCGAGCGAGAGTGTCTCGTCTCTCGGAGCACTCAACGTCCTCATAATTGAATTCTCATTCCACGAGGAACACTTTATCTTCCGCATTACCGCGTCCCTTTCCATATTCATTACTTTTTCCGCCTCGAAACAGTCGGCCGTTGCCGGCTGTCGAGAGCCAAAGAGAGAAAGAGAGAGAGAGAGAGAAAGTTCCTCGTCGTTTTTTCTATATGCAAATCATCCCCGCGTTCCATCCGTGGAACGAACGTTTTAATGCCCTAAGCGTATCGAATAGTTCGAGATTCTCCCTCGAACAATTATTGCTTCGAACTCTCCCCCGGCTTTTCTAGTCGTGACCCTCGTCCACGTGCGCACCACGTCAAATCGCGTCTCTCCTCTCCCTCTCCCTCTGTCGCGTCGGTTTCGCTCTCTCTCTCTCTCTCTCTCTCACTGTTTGTCTGTTTGTCTGTCTGTCTGTATGTCTGTCTCTCTTTCTATCCACAGCTTTCCGCTCACGCCGCCAACACGGTCGTCAGACTCTCGGTCTGACCAAAGCGCGACCCATTCCACTTCTGACGGTGACCCATATTCGATTATCTGGATGCATGCCATCCAACCTCGCACCGGCAAACTAATTGCCTCAAATTGGAAAACTTTCTCGGCCTGTCCCGATCTCTGCCCTCTCCTCCCCACTCTCCCATTGTCAATCTCCCACGCTTCTCCGTACTATGTGTGCCCTATCTCGATTCCCAACGCCATGACCATCGTTTTCCATCCTCCTCCCCGCCGCCATGTTCTCGTAATTCGCTCGTGGGGAATCTCCTTGCGTTCGTTACAGAGATATGAATTGTTTTCTGCTTCCTTGGGCGAAACTTCGGGAACTCGGGGAAATCGGAAAGTTACTGTAACCTCGAGGATTACAAGCGAAGAAGGACAAAAACAACTTTTTCTTTTTCTACTCGTGTGTAGATTCTATCTATTTCTTCTCTCATTTGGTTTCAGATAAATCAGAATTTTTTACCTATTAGTTTCCCTTTGTCCAAACGGTTAACTCTCAATTTTTGTATTGGAAAGTCTACGCGAATAATACGTGCGCGATTTACAATAGAGTCGGACAGATGTTCGGAAGAGTTAATCACGTTTGCACTTCGTGGCGGTGCACCATCTATTTTTATTAGAAAACAAATAATCGTACGCACGTGGCTTTCTGAAGAAGTATTTGCCAAGTGGAATGCCAGTGAAAGGTAACGTTTATTGGCCACGATATACGAATATCTGATAGTGTTTTGTGTCCCTTTGCAGAAACAACATCAATACGCGAGTATCAACTTTACTTCAGAGAATCCAAAGAACGACATTTACAGTCGAACGAATAATCATTGTCTAATTGTCAGATCAGTCACGATCAATTGCTGGATCCCCACGTTAAGTTAATTTAAATCAGACTATAACCCGGTTTCGAATTTCAATGTAATCAATTTTTAAGTAATTGAACTTTCAAAGGATCAAAATAACCTTCAACTTTTTTTTGAGTTTATCTTCACGTCCGAGATCGTGTATTCATTTAGCGGTGAGTTGAATCTCCGGAAGAGTAGGAAGAAATTTCCATGTCTCGAGATGATCGATCAGAATAAATCAACTCGTTCAAATTCCGCTCGTGCCATTCTCCATTCTCGACTGGAAAAAGAACACACACGGAGAAAGTAAAAAGAAACGAGAAATCCGGCGCTGCTCTTTTAAGCGATCGAACGGTCAAAGGCTCACGGAAAAATAAGGGCTGGTATAATGTTGGAACAAAAAAAAAAAAAAAAAAAGACGAAAAGGAAGGATTATTTAATTGCGTGGAATTGTGCAACCAGGGAATACGAACCGCTTTTGCCGCCGTTTACGTAGCGGCGTAACGAGCCCTGTTAAACATCGAGGAAGAAATGAAGCGCGGACCGTTCGGCGAAGCGAGAGAAGAAACAAACAGCTCGTCGATGAAAACCGTTTCTACCGAATGCACGGCTGACGCGTGCTTGGAGCAATCGACACAAGCCTGGCCAAAAGAAGAAAGAGGGACGTGGATAAAAGAAAAGAAAGAAAGAAGAGAAAAGAAAGAGAAAGGAACGGAAGAAGAAAGAAAAAGGTGAAACGACGGAACGAAGGTGGCTTCTTTTCTATTTCTTTCGCGGTAATTTCATCCCCGGTTACGCTTTTTGCTCGCGTCCCGCCCCGTGAAACCTGTTCGCAATTTTCCTCCGCTACCCCCGACCGTTGGAGAATATTTCGCGCGTGTTCCAAAGAACAAACTCGAGTCAAGTCGGCAGCACGATTGTTAAATTGTCGAACGAGTTAAAACGCGATCGTGTTCGACGAGAAATTAACGTTGTTCGTTTGTTTTTGTCGCGTTGCATTAAGAAATCAAAGCTCCTTGAAACGAGGAAAGCACCAATGGACTCTCTCTGTCTGATCTCATAACGAGTTGCAACGCTCTCTAATTTAAATTTAATTTGAATTTCGATTGGATCTACAATTTTTTGGATTGACTGTGCGTCCCGCAACAGAGCTACGAGGGATGAATATCTTGGAAAAATATCTAGGAAGTCCATCTTTGACTGAACGAAATTTCATAATGACAACAGTTTAATCGTTTTTCAACAGTTGATAATCTCGGATATTACATTCACGATTTTATATTAGCTCTTACGGGGGGGAGTTACTCGAGGGCAGAATTAATTTTAGATTGAACCAAGATCAAATTAATTTCTTACTAACTATCGCAAAGGCTTAGCCCATGCAATATTGCGCCACTATGAACTTCTATCGCAAGTGGTCTGGGACAGTGCTTCGGGGAATTCCAAGTATATTATCCGGCAGAAATAAATTCGGTATCCAGTTTCTACCACGTCTATCTATTATCTCTTCTCCATTCCTAACACCATCTATTTTGTTTTAAACACTAATCGCTCAAAAATTACATCACGGACAATACTGTACACAAACTACCAGTGTTTTGTCAAATATTTGTAAATAATCGTGCGATCATAGCGATTCAAATTTTTACAATTTGAATTAATAACATTTTTCAAGCGTTAAAGGCTCTGTATGTTTAGTTTCATTGGCCCACTATTGTCATAACCCGATTTGTACCATTTCATTCCAGTTCGCACTGTTTTATTTTATTATTATATTTATAATATATTAATATTTATTATTCATTATAATAGTTCATGCTTTAGCAATTAACTAATATAATTTTACGAGGAACGTCTCATATTTATATAGATGTAAAAAACAATTTGTAATTTCATACTACAAGATTTTAAATAATTTAACCACGATAATCGTGTTTTATTACAGTACTAGCAAAATTTCAAAAAGTTTGACTATGCGTTCTGCGTGTACCTCGTGCAGAAAATAAGCAGAAATTTCAATTTCCAATACTGATTTCCTTGCACACAGTATTTTAATACATTGTGCGTA